TGGAGTAAAGTAATTATCCAATCTACTATATTCTAAAATTTCAGGATATTCTGAAAAATATTGATAGATTCTTAGTGCAGTCATGACTTTGAATTAAACATTGTGTGGATTTATTTTCTTAATCAACTTTTTGACTTCTTTACTTGTTCTTACACGGCTCATTCCAAAGGTGAGATCATGAATAATTCGACCCATTTCATAGAATATGACAGTAGATGAATATAATCACATATCCAACATATTGTTATATAACAATAATGAATATTCAGCTGATGGATATACTGGTGGTCTGGCTTTTACTTCTCCATTTATGACTACTTGTAATATTCCTTTAGTAATTTTCTTTTCTAACTCAATTAATTCAATTAATGATCCTTGTACAACAAGAGGTTGTACATCTGGCATTTGAATATCAGTTGTGTTGGTATTGGATAATACAAACTGATATTCATTTGGATCGATAATTAATTGTTCTTCAATATTACATATCTTCATTTAATGATGTAATGTTTGAGTTAATAGAATAATTTGAGAAGAAATATGTGAAGGAATAATAGAGGTCATTTTGATAAATTTGTGTAGTAGAAATTGTATTATGTATATGTAAAAGAAATATTATTTTTGTTATTAATGTTGTTATTACTATTTTTCTTTTTTTTAGAAGCAGAGAGATTATTTATAAGAAAATTTTTAAAGATTTTATATTAACTAAAATTAATTAATAAAAGGTATATAATAAATTGGAATCAGTGTATTTTAAAGGGAGACTAAATCTATTTGGGTTTATTTATTTTTAGATCCATAATTTGATCCAATAAACATGTCTAATTTCCAGACTGTAGTATATAATTCAACTATTTGTGTGATGTCACTCATGATCCACAAATTTGATTGGTTATAGATTTTTGTGTGCAAATATAATTTATTGTGTGATAGTGTGATAGTATTAATTGAATTATTAATTGGAGTATTGTTAAGGATGTTTTTCTTATTTTCAAAATGCTGAAAACTAGAAATCAGAATACTGATAGGTTGTGTACTTGTATTATTATTATTTTTATTTGTGTTTTTCATAGGGACTGTTGTTTTAGTACTAAAACACATGGGAAAACTATTATTATTGTTATTTTTTATGATTTCATTTGGTTTAATGGGAACGCATGTGTTTTCGTGTAATATTAGAATTTTCCAGTATTCAGTGAGGTGTGTACTCCATTCTTCGAGTGTATTAGATAAGTTTTCCATTTTTATTTCTGTTTTCTTTTTTAGTTTTTCATCATTTCGAATATTTATTTTTCTTTGGGGTGAAGTGATGGTAATGGTAGTCAGTGATGGTAAATGGATATGTATTTGTGTCCAATTTTCATTATCTGGAGGAGAGTTGTCGAATGACAATTTTATAGTACTAATTGTCTGTTCATGTTGCTTTTTGTAGGGTGTTCCTGTTTCGTTGTTGTTACCGTTGCTATCACTGTCATCCGTTATTATCATCCATGGGATACTGGTTGTATCCCATTTATTATCATCTTCAGTTTCTGGCTGATGATTGCCATCGGCTGGTATCATCATTTTTCGTTTTACTTGGGAGTGGATGGATGATGTACTTCTCGTAAGGGAGCATCCATTTTTCTCTCTTTATTTTAGAATTTTTGGAGGTTTCTTTCAGATCCTCTGATGTTTCTGACCATATAATATCGACTACATCATCGTCAGTATTTGTGTTCCTGATTTTCTTATTTTTATCTTACTTATTCTCGAATTTTCAAAATTTTCATCTTGATGTGATTCTGAAGGTGATTGGTAGGTCAGGGTTACAGTTTTCCGGTCTGAATCCGTCATTTTTTTTGATTGAATTCTTCTTCTTTCTTCTTTTAATTCGGTCATAGTAATAGTGATGATTGATCCATCATTACTTTGAGTATCTTCTGCTTGTTCTGGGTAGATATTTATATATTTCCAAATATCATTATCATTGATGAATCTTCATCTTCTTCATTCAAATCAATGATAACTTTTTCTTAATGATCTGTGCATAACTCACAGTTATCATGATTTAAATGTAATCTGTTTTTACATCAATGATAGTTGCATTTAATCAAATTGTATAATCAGTTTTGGAATCTATCTTCCATATTATTTTCAAAAGCAATGATTTTTCTGACTTCATTGCAATCATTGCAAGTATAACCAAGGTGAGATGAAGTTTTTCAATATTTGGTGAAGTATATATGTGATAGTCTAGTTTCTTGTTCTCTATAAGTTCTTCTTGGATAATAAGACTTAAGACGATAATACTCTTGAATTGAGATAAGTGTAGACATTGTTATTTTTGTTGAATTATAATTAATAGTTGTGTTGCGAGTTGTGATTCTTGTCCCAAATGGCAACATAAGATTTAATCAATCTCATTTAGCTTAGTTTATTGACTTCTCAGTTAGTTGTTGATTAATTTTGAATTACAATTATAGGTTCTAATCTATTATCTTCTTTGTATAATTTTAGGTGATCTCCATTGTATGGGTTCTTAAAAAGCTTTCCATTTATGGTTCTAAGTTGATATGCGCTTTTGTCGAATGTTTGATGAATGTAATATAGATCTTTCAATTTTTGCGAAAATTTTTTATGATGCCAATGCTGCATTTTTATCCTCTTCATTAAGACTTTATCGCTGATAAAGAACTTTTCTGGGTGTTTATCTTGTTGATAAGATTCTTTTTGTTTTTGTTGAGATTTTTGAACATTTTGTTTGGCTAATGTTCTATTAATTTCTAATTTATCTATTATAATGCAAGCTCTTTTGATTACTTCATTTATTGTTATTTCTTGTCCATCTTCCAATAGTTGAAATTTGAAATCAATTGGTGTTTTAGCTTGTCTTCCATAAGTGAGATAAAATGGTGTGAACTTTGTTGCGCTTTGTTG